TTTTTTTTTTTTTTTTTTTAGATGCCTGCTCGTTTTCCACTCCTTTCCTGAAACGAACGGGTAGGAACAAGGAAAAAAACACAACAAAAAAAAGAAGAGGACAGAAAGCAGAAAAAAAAGAAGAAGGAAAAAAAAAACAAAAAAATTACTTGAAAAAGCGGCTACCCGTTTTCCAAGGCTCCTTGCACCTCTCTGGGAACTTATAGTTTCTAACTCCTTCAGAACGGTGTCATCTGCCATTGCAGGTTTACTTTTTTTTTTTTTTTCCCCTCCTTCCGTTGACTTATGCCAACGACCATTCTCGAATTTGTGGTACACCTACAAACAGTTGAAAGACAGACCCGAGTTCAATTCCGAACGAGGCATCGAAAAAAAAAGATTTTTTTTTTTTACCATTTCTCGATTCATGCGTATCATCCTTGCGCAGGGGTCATGCAATCTCTGTCACTATGCGGCCAATCTCGGCCACCAGATCTCAGGATCATGCGATCGAGATTGACCGTTGTCGAGCGCATCGGTCCCTCAATGGGCGAGACCCTCCCAGCCGCGTCACGTAGGAGTTGGTCTTATCGCGATACAAATGGAGCTTCCATTGCCGCTCCGACCGAGTGTACCAACCATGTCTCTCGCCAGCCCCTACTACAGGATAGGGCTTATGCGAGGTACAACTTACCTCAACTTGCGGGAACTGTCATCTCCCTTCGGTGGGCGTATCCCTGCCGAGCTACCAGTCCACACTACGAAAGTTAATCAGTTGCAACCGCAGAGGTGTGTCAGCCGAGGGCATTTCTCATACGCTGTAGCATAGGGGGTACACGCGGTCCCACGCCTCTATCGGGCCCGCATTTGGGGGCTGAAGTGCCGAGCGCTGTCGAGCGCATCGGTCCCGCACGGGGACCCTCCTTTATGGTGCCGGCCCTCAATCTCTGCTCAACCTCTTCACTTTCGCTTATCTCCTCTATCCTCACGCCCTGATGATCTTCTACTTCCTGCCAAATACAGAAAGCGGCCGGGGGGGCTGGTGGAGCTGGGGCATTAGCACGCCGCAGAGCTTCTTCCCTTATCCCCCCTGGGATTCTCGGGTCTATGCACTCACCGTACATGTCGAAAAATCACCATCATAGCTTGAACTCATCAGGCAATCCTTTTCATCACTCTTCCGGACCTGACATAACTTAATTGTGTGACCCTTTTGGCCACAATGCCAACAGATGGCATTTCTCCAATTTATCCTTCCTCTTCCATATCCTCCACCGCCTTGCTGGTCACTCTGATTCCCCGCACCGTTCCACCTGTCACTTCCTCCTCTCTGGGAGTTACTATTCGCGTTTCCTCTCCCATATCCCCCGCGGCCACCATTTCCTCGCCCTCGGCCTCATCCTTGATTTTGTCTCCGTCCGGCGTCCACCACCTTGATTCCCTTGTGATCCTTGTGGGGCCGACTGCTGAGGTTGGCTTGGCGGTGGGTTCGAGTGACTCACCTGTTGAGACTGGGGTCCCGACTGTTCACAGGAAGCAGTACTCATCCGCGCTCCGGCACATGATCCATGTGGCCCGCCCGTTGGCCATGGTGCATATGAATAGTGTCCACGCCAATGATTGGGAGGTCCACAACCTGGCCATGACCCATAGGGCGCTGGTGCGGCTTGACCGGACGACTCTGGGGGTGGCATCGCCACAGCCGGCGCGGCTTGACCTTTTCCTGAGCCTTGCCCTCCTTGAGTCGTGTTCCTTGCCTTCCTTTGAGCCTTTGTCAACTTTTGTGGTTCAGGTTCCTCTTCTTCTTCTTCCTCCTCCTCTAGCACTGCCACCTTCTTTCCTTTCCCTTGGGCTTGTGGCGCCGTCATAGCCTTCTTTCTTGCCTCCTTTTCTGCATCGTGCTGGGTCACAGTCTCTTCTATCATTAGTTTGAAGTTGCCCCCATCACTAGCGATAGTATCCAAAGTCTTCCTTTTCTTCCTAGCCTGTTTCATCTGGAAGATGTCTACCTGGCCCAACTCTCCCTCTAGCACGCCTTCTTTTATGGCACCCCAAGTAAGTTTTTTTCCTGGCGCAGCTTTCTTGGTTAGCGACGAGGCTTCCCAATTCTTGAAGTGCCCCAGGAAAGTGGCACACTGTTCTTCTTCTGCCAGCCCTAGGACTTTTTTTGCCATCTTCTCAAATGCTGTGGCAAAGGCCCCTACCGTGGAGAACTCGTCCCGTCTCAACATTTCCACGTCTTCTTTTGTGAGAAGGACGTCCCCTAACTTGAAACGCCTCTGCATCTCTTCTTTAAACCTTGCCCACTCACCATTTGCGTCGGCCGCTACTTTCATTACCTCAGGTCTAAGCTCCCACCATAAGTACCTAGGCCTCAACTTGAATTTGTCTGCCTCTGATGCCTCGCAAGTGACCTGCTCCAACAGCTCAAGCCACTCGGACACCCTATCCCCATTGAACTGGAAGATGTTAACCTTGGGCACCAGAAGCCGTGCCATCTCTCTCTTTTCCAAAGCCTTGACGAAGTCCTCCGGTGTAGCACCCGGGCCCTGCTCGATTCCATCGGAGTCCGGCATCTTTGTCCTTTCTCAAAACCTGTTGCAAAAAAAACAATTTCGACAAACATCTTGCCGTCAAACCTCTAAACTCTCTAGTTCCATTATTCAATCGAACATACTTTTAATAACTAAGGTAGTCTATCCGGCCTTTATATCGTAATTTCGACTCTATTATTTGAAACGAATACACACAAAGCACACTCTCAACCTTACTCGCAATCAAAAATAAATTTTGTTAGGCCATCGAAGATAGCACAATACTCATATCATCATCAAACTTCTTCATCAAGGGTTGTTGTTTTGCCTGAATCATCAGCCTGCTCTTAACCTGGGTTCCTTCACTGTGGACCCCGGTAGGCAGCCGAGATCCCCGGCAACGGCGCCACCTCGTCTTGAAGTAGAGCATTGGCCAAGAGGTATATCCCACCTATCGACCTCTCGTGCCCTTCCACCTGTTGCGCCCCATTTTCCATCATGAGTAGGTCTTCGTGCAACTGGTATTTGTCTGCTAAGGCTAGATTCATCATCCACTGCACGTTTGACACTCCCCATGAGTCTTCCTCAATGTAGGGCTTAAGAACTAGATCTGATCGTCGTACATGTCCTGGAGGCGCGAGCCACACAGGTTGTCCAGGAGTAACGTAGTTACCCACGGCCATCGACCAGGAGTTGATGTGAAGTCTCACATCCTCCTCACTGTCCAGAAACCCGTCGACTGGCGGAGTATCCTCGATCACTCCTTGATTATTTTTGTCCCAGTCGACTAGACTCAATCCGTCTGCTCTATTCTTATTTCCTGGAATTCGCTCTAATTCAAAATCGAACATCCAGATGTATGTTAACCACCTGGCGATAGTCGGGTCTGATGGGGCGAAGTTCTTGAGAGAACCGGCTAGAGCAGTTGGGTCCACCCTCAACACGAACCTGTTGCCGAAGAGGTAGTTTCTAAAGATCCTTAAGCAATGGAGAACCGCCAAGGTCTCGCGCTTAAATTGAGAGTAATTTCTCTCAGTTGTGTTAAGCGTGCGACTTTCAAACCTTTGTGGCCGCTCTTCTCCGTTAAGGTCTTGCTGAATCAACACACATCCTAGCGCAGTTGGCCCTGCACAATTCCTTCTTTAGGCCCTTTATTACCAACTCCTGCTTATCTCCCCATTCCCAGTCTTGTCCTTGACGCACGAGCTTTCGAAGCTGTTCTGTCTTTGCCGCAAACCCTTTTATGAAGATCCTCCAGAACCCACATGTCCCGAGGAAACTTCTCACCTCCGTAATAGTCTCGAATGGGGTTGGCCATTCGAGAATCTTATTGGTTTTCTTAGTGTCTGGTCGACGACCCCTCTCGTCGCACACAAACCCCAAGATGGTGGCCCCGCTCATGCAGTGTCTCGATTTAGACTCACTTGCAATGAGGTTATGCTCCTTTAGCAGGTTTAGGACTCTGCACAGGTCTTGCACATGGTTCCAAACAAAGCGTCTAATCCCTGGCATTACCTCCTGCTCGTTCTTCTCTTTAGGCCCTTTTACGACTAAATCATCAATGTAAGGCTGAGTAATGTGAGGGCTTACTGACTGCATTGCCCTCACCATGTGCTTCTGTACCATGGCGACTGCATTTATCCACCCTTGTGGTGCGACGTTCATATGAATTAACCCTCGAGGGGTATGCATTGTCGTCATCGGTCTGTCAGAGGGGTAAATAGGAAACTGGTCGTAACCAGAATATAAGTCTATGAGAGATATGATGGCTCTCCCAGCGTATGCCTCTGAAAGCGCATCTGCGTTAGGGAGACTACCTGCATCTCTCATAGTTACAGCATTCAGGAGCTGCAAATCCTGTACCCACCTCAAGGTCCCGTTTGGTTTGACGAAACAAAACCAAGGGGATGCATATGGTCCGCTCGAGTAGTCGGACACATGTGTGCGGATTTTCCCGTCAAGGTAGCTAACTACCTTTTTTTCGTCAGCCGGATTAGGGTACCGCGCGCCTCGCAAATTCCATGGCTCGTGGGGAACGGTATGTATCCTAATCATTGGGATTCTATCCACGTCCAGACGGTCCCGTTCATCATCATTGAAGGCATATGCAGTATGCCTTCCTCTTATGGTCTCTACCATAAACCTCTCCTCTTGCGCCGTAAGGAAGCCGGGTTCCCCTATAATCAGCGTCTTTTCTGTCTCGGGAGTGATACGACATGACCCTATCTGTGCGTCCTCTCGCATTTGTCGTATCAATTCTCGTTCCCGCTCGTAATAAACTTTTTGCTCCTCAGTAACGAGTACGGGAACAGGGCGGCACTTCTGATCTACCCTCTTATACCGCCTTTGTGAACCCTGCTTGAGCTTACCCCTAAAAAGGCCGAGTTGCAGTTTGGGGCTGTGCTCCTGCGATTCCACCTATCCTTCCAGGCACTCGATATACGAGTTCTGCCTCACCTTCACCTCTCCTCTCCATCACCTTTTCCCTGAGGGCTTCTACTGCCACAGGGTCTGCCATTCCATAGGTGGATACTATGTCCATAGCATCCCCTATATTAGTCAAGCTGAGGGAGAGGRCCTCYRATGGCTCTTCGCCTTCAAACACCTCACCCTCCAACCTCAACCTTTCTACCTCTGACTCTTCAATAGTAAAAGAGTCAGGGTTGGGCCGATTTCTTATGCTTCGTGGCCCTGTGTTCTTGCATGTGATTACCTCATAGCTCCCACACACAGGGTCACAAAGTACCAAAAACATGGTCCCATCATGCTTATTCAGTATGACGGTCTTCCTTCAGCTCAAAAAGGATCGGCCCAATAGGATGGGATGGTCGAGATCGGTCATTACAAAAAAACAACTTCTCACTTTAACCTTGCCAATTTTTAAAACCACTCTCGATGCGGTCCCTATGAACACAGACCGACTATTTGCTCCCATTAAAACTCCATTATCCGAGCGATCAATCTCCATCCCCAAGCGTAAAATATGTTCCTCTTTTATGAGGTTCATTTCCGCCCCAGTATCCATCATTGCCGTGCACATTTTTCCTTTTACTACTACGTCCAAGCATCCACATGCGACGGACTTCCAATCCATCTTCGTGCCTGTCTCTGCCCATTCCGCTTCCCTGGGGATAATGGTTCCCAAGCGCACACTTGCCACTAACCTTCTGGACAATCGAGCCTTTAGCTCATCCCTCAATTTTAGAGCGGAGGCGAGGATATCTTTTAAGTTCATTAGGTCGTTATGGCCCTCAAGGAGTCAATTGACCATTCCTTCCACGTCAAACCCCTCCTCCATTCTGACCTTATATTTTCTTCTCTTGCCCTCTTGTTCCTTACTAGCGCCGGCCTTTGCATCCCTCTTTTTGGCTATTTCTTCAGCCTTCTTGTCCTCTTCCGTCCTTAACCTTTCAACAGGTCCTCCATCTTCTCCATCGTATCTCTTGCCCTTACCAAATTATCATCTTCTCCTTCGCCGTCCGATTCAACCACTATGGGTTCCTCCCCTTTGGGTCATCTCTGCAGTCTGCTCCTCTTTCCGTTGAGTCCTGCCAATATGCTGGTCCTCCCGTCTCTCCTGCCTCTGGGACCTGTGCTCTCTCCTCTGGCCATCCCTCTGAGCTCCTGAGGTCATGCCCTGCTCAGAGGTTCTCCTCTCTGCAGTTTCTGGCTCCTTCCTCTTTCTTCCCATACTCCTCTCGTCAGCCTGACGTGCCGGAGTATAGTGGTTCCAAAGCAATTTCTTGCAATGGCCCCAGTTCTGGGCAGGCTCCACAATAGATCTGACGAACGGCCTGAGGTATTTCCTCACAAACAGAATAAAACTCCTCACCCTCTGGCTTGGTGGCTCGTTGATGCTATCTGCAAACTCGTCGTAGCCCTTCAGGAACTCCCACAGGTTAGTGGCATCAAAACGAATGGGCCGTCCATCTCTGCCTAGCGGCGATGGGTGCAAGCCCTCCATCTTCTGCTCAAAATCCTGCCAGGTCAATGACTCCCTGACGAAGTTGGCAAGGGGCTGTGCCCACTCGCCTGCTCCTCGCACCTCCCGCAGCATCCTGCTACTATCCCATCCAAACTCATGACCGTGCCTCCTGAACCCAACCATGAACAGCTCAACGTTGTCTCCTGTATAAATGGGTGGCCAGTCCTCTCTCCTGGCCCTCACCTGCGCCCCCTGTCTGGTAACCCCCAGTGGGGTTTCCACTGGCCCTGCCCCTCCCCTCCCTCTTGGCATGGCTGCCCAAAAACTGGTGTCAAGCCTGCACAACAAGGAAGAGACAGACAAAAGCACACAAAGGGTAAGTAGGTTCGACAAACAAAACAGGAGACAGACATTCCCCTCCCATATCTACCTTAACTACATATACATACATGTGTAAATACACGTATATAAATCTATCTTAATACTATACTCTATCACACCATTCTACTGAGAAACATACACAATTTTCCCATATATATATATATATATATCTAGTATTACTTAACAGAAAGGGATTCTAAATTGTGGGACCCATGCTCACCTCGTCTCGAGCGACAAACTTCTTCAATCTCGAGCCTGACACCCAATCTTTCCAGGCAGTCCCATTCAGCTCTTCAATCTGGTATGCCCCATGCTCTCCACTCCTCGTGACCATGTATGGTCCTAACCACCTCTTGTCCAACTTTCGCGACCACTGCTTCTCTAAGGATGAATGGTATAGTAGCACAACGTCGCCCACCTTGAGAGGCTCCTTCCTTACCCTTGCCATCTTATCCCACCTGAACTTATCCCTCTGTCCGGTGTCAGCCACCTTACTCGCCGCACTTTCAATTTTGTCCTCTATGACATTAATCTGATGAACCCTTAAGTCTAGCAGTTTCTCAAATGACAAGTTTGTCTCGAGGTCCTGCCGCCTCCAAGTCTTTAGGAAACTTTCGATAGGGAAGGTCGCATGTCTGTCATACCACAACGTTGCTGGCGCGTAGTTGGTGCTTCTTCTGACAGTGATTTTATCCACGAAGAAGGCGACCCTTAGGAAGTTAGGCCACTGATTTGGCCTACCATTCGTCCACTTAGCGAGGAGATTCGTAATCGTACTATGACCCCTCTCCACAGGTGCATTAGCTTGAGGGTGCGCCGCAGTAGTATACTCTGCGATCACTCCATACCCTCTCAGCAGTTCTTTCACCTCAGCACAAGTGAATTCGGACTCTCTGTCCATTACGAATTTGGAGACAAAAGGGTAGCGGAGGTAATACTCCTCAATGCATCGAGCCAAGGTCTCACCAATTTTTGTGCGTATGGCTCTGCCATCTACAAAACCGGAGAGGTTGTCACGTGCATCGAAGATGAAGTTATACCCACCTACTCCCAGCGGCATTGCCAATAAGTCCAAATGTACGACCGCCCCAACCTCACGTACGTACCTTGGGTGAAGCGGCTCCCTAGGTCTAATGGAAGACCGCTCCTGGCATGAAACACATGACTTGCAATAATCGTTGATCATTCGTCCCATGCCATCCCAATAGTATAGCTCGTGTATTTTGAGGAAAGTTGTATCCTTACTCCTATGTCCACCTGCCTTACCATCATGTAGGGCAGTTATGACGTCGATCTGACGAGCGATGCCGCAGACTACCCTTCTTGGAGTCTTCCCTTTACTCTTCATAAATAGATGGTCATCCCTTACTAAGAAGTTTGGTCGCATCTTGAGAACTTTCTCGCACGTATCTTTCTCTCATTTCGCACGAAAGGAGCATTCCTAATTCCAGATATATCCCGTTATACTCCTCCGTGCGAAAAACCTCTTTTATCTCTCCCTCTTCAAAATCGTGGTCCTCTCCTTCGTGAACTATATTCTCATTCTCGCCTTGCCGTTGATCCCCGATCCTTGCCACCTCCGCTGGCAAGTAGCATTACAACTGACAATCATTCATACGATGTCGCTCACAATCCCGTCTAGGCAATATCCTGCATCAGTATCTGAAGTAGTAAACGACAGCTCCTAGAATTTGCAATTGCTGCTGCTAAAACCATCCTCTCTCAGCAGCAACGTCGCCGCACAAATTCAAACAACAGTTGTCGACAGGCTAAGTCTCAGTAGCAGACCCAATGATGACCTCCATCATAGTAGTACCTCATGCTTAACAACACCATCAATACTTCAAAAGAAAGAAAAAGGGAGACTCGCTGCTCTGTTGTGCTGCTGTAAATAAGACAACAATGTCGGAGAACTCAATCAACATAGCAGTTCGCAGACTTTCAGGGCATCAATAACCACCAAAATAGCAGTTGCCGATCCACAGACCATGTGCATGACTCAAGAATACTTCAACTGTTGGTGTCGCAACTTAAGTAAGTCTGTTGCTGCGAAAATCCAAATCAGGCCTCCAGGGGTCCGCTACAGCCTTCCAAAGGCCTGCTACAACGCCGTAACAGTAGCCAAACATCAATCCACTGCTGCTAGAAGTCCCTTCTTATAGACAGATGTTTGCTGCAATACCAAAAAAAAAAGGTCCACAATGACTCAAATCTGGGTGAAGTAGCAACGGAGCAGGACCTAGACCAATCGTGAAGAGAAAAGTCCAACCCACTGCATTATTCATCAATGCACACAGTGGAACTGATTCCCCCACTAAAGTACGACCAGATACAATGTCAGATTTTGTACTGAGCTAAACTGTGCAACTCAACACCTTGGTTCCTCTCGTATGGCGGCTGCTCCAACACTCATCATCTTGCAAAACAAAAGTAAATCTTCGGCTAGAACATGGGAAGATGCATGCCCTTCTTGCCTGATATCTTAACTTCCGTTCGTCCCGTATTACCGCCACTGCCAGCCAAGTACACCCTTCCCTCCATTTTCTTGTATTCCACTTCCTCCTCCTCTACCTATTTCCGATGTGCCGCCAAGCAAACTGCGGACCAGCCAGCAACCGTAGTGATACAATGTGAATGTATATGTGCTATTTTTCCGGTCCGGTACAACCTTCCCACACCTGTCTACATGACTACACCCACGCTCGCGCACACATGCACACACCTGCACACTCACCACCATGCTCACGCTCCAGCGCATACGTGCTTGTGCCTACATGCTCACCCGTATGCACGCGTGATTACACCTTCCTGCTTCTCTTCTTCCCCTCTACCTCTATTCCTCCTCTAAAAGTTGTCATGTCCAAGGATATGCCGCGGCACATTCTTCAATAATCTACGAGCAAGTGCTTGCGTTCTCTCTCTCTCTCTCTCTCTCTCTCTCACACACACACACACTGTGCCTTCTCTCTCTCCAGGTACGGGCATACCTGGCCATTTCACCTAACAGGAGGGGGAGAATACTTAGCGTTCAAGGCATGATTATGGTCGAGATCCCCCTGAAAAGGCAAGCACGAGGATGAGCCTACTCACGAAGACATAGCTGAGTCACGATGGTGATGATGAGCCTGCTCCCGAAGACATAGCTGAATCACGATGGTGACGATGAGCCTGCTCCCGAAGACATAGCTGAATCACGATGATGACGATGAGCCTACTCCCGAAGACATAGCTGAATCACGATGGTGGGCTCAAGCAACAGAACCACGAAATCTGCAGCGTCAGAATCGGGATGAGGAGCACCAACCCGTCACACAGTCCCCCACCAGAAAATGCAGAATGAGAATGAATCTGATGCAAAAACGCAGGAAAATACACCGCCGAAATTCCTTCCCTGCGTTTGCTTTCTGCCAAGCACAACGCAGCCTCTGACTCACACAACAGAAAAACGGCTACCCTATCGCAGAATCTAACCGCGCCAATCGATTCCTGGTGCCTCAAAACCCCAAGTTAGGCTCTTATTTCGCTCGAATCCGTAAAGAAACGAATGAGATAAGTGTTTTCTCCTCCTTGCCATATCCTCTTTCCCGTCACCTCCGYGCACTCTCTTCATCTCCTAACTTTAATCCAACTAACGTTTCACCAAAAGTGAACCCAAATTCGGGGTCGCCATAGTCAATAACCCTGAAATAGACTCTTCTTCGGCCCCATTTCATCAAGTAACGGCCTATATCTCATCTCTTCACCCCCTGTTTCCCATTCTTCTTGTTCTCCTATTTTGAATGCACCTTGCTCATACCCACGTCCAGATCCATTTGCCCTCCTTGGTTCTTTAGTCAGGCCAGCGCAATCTCCATCTCCGTTCTCTCTCTAGGCCGGCCAGCGCAGTCTCCTTTGTCCCCCTCGAAGTGGGAATCTGCCTCGTCTCCCTCGAAGTGGGAATCTGCCTTGTCTCCCTTCATACCTGCTCTCCCTCGACACCATCTTTCCCTTCTTCTTCCCCGTAGCCCATTACTCCATGAGCCTCTCCCGCCAGCCAAAGTACGCCCAGATGATAGCGCACGGTCCAACAATCTTGAGCACCTTAATGGAAGTGAAATCCTGATCGCCGGACCTCGCTGTCCTATATAGCCTAGAATGGCATATTTGCATAGCTTACTCGTGCCACACTCAAGGAATGAATCYGGCCAAATCTAGGCACTAGGTCCATTCARCCCAAGAAAAAYTGTAGTGCAGCTCCTCAAAAGGAGAAGAGGGGCTGAGAAAAGAAATACAAATAAAATAAAAATAAAAGTTGGGCTTGGTGAAATGCCTAAACGATGGGGTCGTGGCCCACCTAGGTGCCTTCTCCGGATCGGACTCTGATCTATATTTCAACAGTCTGTGAGTATGCCAATCGAGCTAGGCTTGTTGGTACTTGCTAGCATTGCTGCAGCCCCCACCAAAATCCCTCTGGTCCGCTGTTCCCAGGCGTAGCTCCCCTACTACCGCCCCCAACAGGCATGCTCACATCCACTCCTCACAGCGGATCGTGGGCAGCGGACGTAGCCTCCCTCTGGCTGCGTCCTGCTTCGAGGCCTGTAGCATGAGCCTAGGCGGGACGGATCCCAACACGGATCTTGGTGGTCATTATTCAAATGAGAATTTTTGAAGATGGAAGTGGGGAGGGGCTCTATGTGACCGCAGCTGCAGCCGGCGGCCTCCGCCCTGGTGTGCCCGCCCCATTGTGCCCAAGCGCAGTCTACCATCTTTCTGGTCTCAACGGGAATGCTCACACTGCGGTCCCAAATCTGCAAAATGTGCAGATTTTGGAACAGACTAGTTCGGGGTTTTGAGCATGGTTCAGGTCACACTACTGTACCTTTTCAGGTTGGATAGAGCCCTGGCTGTCTGGAGCATTGGCGAACCGATACTTTGCTGGTCACCCGGCGCCATCCACATATTGTGCAAAAAAATCCAGGTCCCGAAATAAATAAATAAAAATAAATAGGGCATTTCCCTTGCCCCGCGGCTCCACAGGCCGCTGACAAAATGGGCACACCAATGGTGCATCCGGGACTTTGGCAAAAATCTGCGTGACCAGTCTTGTCCCTCATGGGCCCCAACGGGCATGCTCCCACTCAGTTCCTACTGCAGATCGTGGTTGGCGGACACCGCACTTGCAGAGAGGCGCCCAATGCTCAACTTTTCCTCCGTCTCGCGGTCAGTCACCCATCAGTTGTCATGCACGTTGACTTTCTCCGTCTGCATTTCAACAATTCATGGGCGTCAATCGAGCTACGCTCGCTGGACTCCTCAAACAACTCCGATACCGGCATTGTCACCGCATCCCAGAAACGGGACCGACAACAAAAAAAAATAATTAGATAAAAATAAAATAAATAAAAAAATAAAAACACAAGCTTCAGGAACTCGCGCTTTGGGGAAGAGAGATTGTCAGTACCACTCTTAGTTCCGCCAACCGGGCCTACGGATGGGCCGACAACAAAACCAAGGGGGATAGCCCTGCCGGGCCCTCAACCCCTCGATATCTTCAGGAAATGCTCCTCCGCTCTTGTAATGCTGGGTGCTGGCCTCCATCCCGAGATCTGCTGGCTGAAAGTTCAGTACGTTAACCAATAGGGCTAAGCCCAAGCCTGACCTTAGCATACGCGAATTCGTATATCAGTAGTATTCGCAGCCTGTCTGGGCCTGTAGTTAATGCACTGAGGCCGCCGCTTGCTCCGCCTTCGAGCCTAAGGCCTCGCAATGCCGTGCTTGGCTGCTTGGGAGGAAAGTTATCGCTCAGATCACCATGCCCACTGCCCCGCCACACTGCGGCCGCGGCCGAGGCTTTCATAGCCCTCTACACCCGTCAAACGAGCGCGCTCTTACCCCCCTTCGGTTGGAAAGACCCCGACTTTTGCTCATGCCGTACCAAGTTAAGCTTTCCTCGGCTCCCACTGT